TTAATCTGCCATGCTGGGGCCGAGTCCAACTAGCAGGATTGATTTTCCTCAACGCCCGAATCCGGACGTGTTTGTGGAGATGTGTGCGGTTGAGGAAACTCAACGCAATTTTCTGCACATCTCCACAAACATATCCACATTCGGGCGTTGAGAAAACTCCACACTGCTAGTCGGACTTGGCCCCTGGACTGATTCCATGGCTGTGAATTTGTGAAAGCATTTTTCTCTTTTCTTTTGTTTTCGGCGGCTGCAGATGGCGTGGAAGGTTTGCTGTTGTGTGCATGACCATGACAACTGAGGGGCAGTCTTCAAATTCCTTCCATTTGTCTCTTACCCTCCCCTCTCTCTCTGACGGGGTAGGAGGGGAGGCCAGGGTAGGGCTGAGCAAAGGCAGGGAACATGGCAGAGAAAGATTATCCTTTATGTTATGCACTGCTCTCTCTCTCTCTCTCTCTCTCTCTCTCTCTCTCTCTCTCTCTCTCTCTCTCTCTCGCTCGATGGTCGACAGAAATTCTTACCAATCAGTTGATGTAATCCTCCCCTCAGCCCCATCCTCTTATCAATAGGAACCGGACTGTCGCTCCCCAGAATGGCAGGGGCCGGAACCGAGAGGTTCTGAAAAAAAAGAAAAAAAAAAAGAAAAAAAAAAGAAAGAAAAAAAAAAAACAAAAAAGAAAGAAAAAAGAATCAGAATTATCAGATCAATAAAACAACTCTGAATTACCTGGAGCGGGTTAGTTTGAGGATTATACCTCAAGGCTGTTCCTCTTTAAAATTAAATTAAATTGAATTAAAATGAAAATTTAAAGACAGAAAAGGGGGGGAAAATAAAATAAACAGAGATAATCCCCTCCCAATCATTCCGGCGTAATCCTCCTCCCACCCATAATACCCTGACCAACCCACTGAGACACATCAGGGTTCTGCTTAACTGATTGGGAAAAAAAAAAAAAAAAAAAAAAAAAAGACACATCAGGGGCATGGTCCCATTAACAGTGGGATAGGAGTGTGGCCTATCCAGTGTGACACTGAGTGGCAGCGGCCAGACACGTTCATTACGAATTTCTGGGCTGAGAAAACAGAAAAAAGGCCAAAAAATAAAAAGAAACAAAGACCTGCCACCGGAAATCACAGCAGAGTGCTTCCCAGCCATCAGATCACAAATGATCTGATGGTGGTGGTTGCAAAAACAGGGAAATAAGTAACAGCCACATTTTTTTGGAATAAAATCGACTTCTGTCAGAAGTGATCCTGACACCCTCCATATACTCCGTGATTGAAGGAGGGCTCCACCCAATGAGATAATTGCACAACAGCAAGTAAAATGCTGAAAATCTTCTATCCAGTGGGCTAAGGCCGACCCCAACCTTGTTTGGGGTTGGCCACACCCCCAACCGATTGAAAAGATTCTGGCGGGAAGCTGTCTTTGCACGGGCATGCCCAGTGTTAAACCACCAGTACTTGGGCGACGCCTTAGCGTTAACGCTACGCGATTTCCGCGGCCGGCGGGCCGTCGATAAATCGAATCGACAGCTCGCGCTGCTTCGAGATTTGGGCGGCCGGCGCGGCGCGCAGTGCCCAAGTACTGGTGGTTTAAGGAGAGGAGGAGGGGAACGGAGATCTCATTACTTTTTCGGGTAATTCATGTAAAATACTGACCGTGGGATCACGAGTACTGCACGCCAGGATTTGGGTCACTCAACTGCCCCACAAACTCTTTCCTATCCTATCCCGTCGCTAGAGGGACGATGCCCCAGGGGGGTTGAACCCTTGACTGTCACCAGTATTTCCCATATACCAACTCCGGGATCTTTTTTTTTTTTTTTTTTTTTTTTTTTTTTGCTATTCAATACAATACGAAATATACTCTGACATCTGACAGAGACTTTTTTCGCAGCCTACAGGCTGGGATTGGGGGCCTTCCACACTCCCAAGACTGATATCTTATCTATTGTGATCCTATCTACTGTGGTGAGCCCATGTGGCTGAATGCTATGCCCATGAACTGTTGATATGCAGACCTGAGCTCAAATCCTGAGATGCTCAGACACATAAAAATTATACTTCTGGTTCTTCTGAAGTTCCCAGGGATGGTCAGTTAATGATGATACCTGGGCGATATCACCCTCTTTTTTTTTTCCCAACAAAAAAGGGAGAAAAATCACCCTTTTTCGGACTTTTCCTTTGTAAAGAAAAACGGGGAAGATGTCTGGCTTCTTGCACCATTCAGGGTCTCGTTAGACACTCCTGAAAGTTCCTGCTTTTAGGATTGCGTCTTGGTTGCACGCAATCCTAAATCGGACGCGGGAATCGAAAATGTGAAAACGGCGTTAGGACTTGTCCTAAAAGATTTACAATTCCCCAGCCAAATCGTCCTGAATTTTCCAGTAGCCCCGGACCTACTGAAAAATTTAGGATTCCCGCGTTTCATGGAGTCGTCGCGTCGCGAGAATGGCACCGTCGACACGGAGGTGGTGGTCCAGGAGAGGTCCGTCGGGTCGGTGGGCGGACATCGGAGGTTTTCTGCCGGTTGACGATGGCAACAGCCCCCACGGGTGGCCGTTAGCCGGTGGGGTGGAGCGCGGTGGGCGAAGCGTGGCCTGGCTCGCGGGCGTTGAGGACCGTTGGCTCGGGTGCGGGCAACGGAGGAGTCCCCAGACGTGCGCATGACGACACACGGAGGCTATCGTGGGAGCCATCGTTTGTCATCTTCGCTGGCGGTCGATGGCATATGAAGGCCCAGCGTCCTTGTCCGCGGGCTTGTGAGGAGAAAGTTCAGCACGACGTCATGTGCAAGGTCGCCTGTCGACGTCGAATTCATGGCAGACATGCAGAGGAGATAGCCTCTGCTGCTTCTCGTTGCCGTCATCTTCCTGTTTGTCATCTTCCTCCACGTGTGCTTGTCGTGCCGGCCGTGGAAGCAACGTTGCAAGCGCAGGACGTCAACGAAACGCGGTGTGCAGGTACGCGCTGTTCCGCCCATGGCGGGCATGCAGATACGCGCTGTTCTGCCTGCGGCTGAGGGCGAAAGAAGACCTCCAACGACGGAGCCTTCAAGGCGGTACGACCCCTCCATGTACAGCCATCTGCCATCGTGGGAGACGCCGCTGCCTCCCTCGGATGAGGAGCCGGAGGGGGATGAACTTCCAACGTTTCCTCTCGCCAGCGGGTCGACGCAGCTGTTGTCGCAGACGGTGCTCGCAGGCGGGTCGGCAAGCAACGGATGCGGCGAGTACACAACACTCCTGCAGCAGGGATTGGGAGACGACGACGACGGGGGAGTTGATCTCCGGTTCGGCTTGTCTTCTCGCGGCGGTAGGGAGGCGAGCCGCACGTTCATCATTGACGCCGATCCTTCACCGCGTGGCGTTCAACCTGTCTCTTATACACATCTAGATGTGTATAAGAGACAGGTGTGGAGAACATCACACGAGGAGTGTCGAACATGCGGGCACACAGCGATGGTGGCGACGACGATGGTGGTGGCGGTGACGATGCAGACGGGCGATTCGGGGAAGACGTGGAGGCAGGGGACGACGACGACGACATTCCTATTTGGTCTTTGGGGAAGACGGGCGGGAGGGGGAGAGGACGCAGCAGGGGTGCTGTTCATGGTCGATCCGTTGGCCGTGGGGGCAGAGGTGGCGTCAGCGATGACGACGGGAAGTCTGCGACGTACTGGTCCCCGGAAGAGCAAATCCAAGGCCCACCGCCAACAGTAGCCGTTTGGGGAGTATGCAGACGGAGGAGGCCGGGGATTTCCGTGCTAACGCCTCTGGACCACCCAAGAATCGAAAGTCTCCGTCGACGCATGTCTTCACCACTCCGTGAATCATGGTTCCTTGAGCTCCAAGGGACCTCACGAGGTCCCTCGGGGATAAGGAAATTTTCGCTGGGGCCACAAGGACATTTCTTGTTCAATTTTGTCCCCAAGGACAGGTGGAACGAGCGCATCCTTGTGGATTTCACGTCCCCGAGGAGTGTCTAGTGACTTCCTCATTCAATCATCACGAAGTGTTTTTTTTTTTTTTTTTTTGAGGGAAGAAAAAGAAAACAAAAGAAATCCTCACTGGTAGATAGCCCAGAAAGTGCTTCCATAGCACAAAATGTTGTGTATCTACTTGTCAGAATGATAAGCCCCAAAAAAAAAAAAGAAAAAAAAAAAGAATGGTACAAATAATGCATCAAACAAAACTGTCAATGGTACTCGTTGTAATACAATAGTTTATTTGCCTATTGGAGTTGTGGTCAGAAAGTTCAGGGGCATAACAGCAATTTCACAGACAAAAATGTCGTCTTTTTCTTTCCGAAGTTGTTGTCAGAAATTTCAGGGGCATTACAGCAATTTCACAGAAAAAAAAAACAATGTCTTGTCTTTTTCTTTCCTTCTTCCCTTTCTTGTTTTAACTTGGAAAAAAAGATAGTCCGATATCAGCAACTTAATTACACAAATTTGAAAATTCCAAATTCCACTTCATTTTTTTTTTCTTTTCCCCTAAGAGCCGTTAAATGCTTTATCAAGCGACTCTCTTTTGGAAATTTCAGTTTTTTTAATTTCCCTTTCCGACAGCTATTCACAGGTTTACAGTACCGGCCTGCCCACACAACTCCCACCAGTGTCAGTGCTGCTGGTAAGAGCAGACACCACTAACACCTGGGGAGAGGCTCCATCTATTAGTGGGGAGCGTCACATAATGTGAAAAGACAAAGGCTATGGCCGGTGTATTTCGCCACATTCTGACAGAAAATACATCCTCCACCTCTGATAGGTATTAGTAGGGTCTTTGGCCAACACGGGTGAGAGTGTGAGTGGGTATTGTGTGGCGTGGTGTGTGGGAGTATGTTGAGCTTGACACACTGCTTCTATTGGCAGAAATGCTCGTTCTTTGCATTAGCCAGGAACCCATCCGTGGACCCCATCGGCAGACCCAATCGGCGGCTGCACCCCATCACTGACAACCACTCTTGGGGGGGGTAGGTCAACATGCAATCCCTTCATTTGGGGGGGGGGTCGATGTGCAGGGATCCCTTCACGATGATGAAAAGTTAACAGAGAGTCCATCCCTTCATTGCGCAGGTCGATGAAAAGTTAACAGAGAGTCCATCCCTTCATTGCGCAGGTCGACCAACAAGATCGCTGATCCTGTGCATACAAACAGTCTGCAAAATTTCGCATAGAGAGTCAATTGCACCCAAACCTTAACGGACTGCGCTGAATGAATCTGACCCTAGATGCAGTCAAATACACCCGCAAACTTCAAATCGGTGAATGAACCTGACCCCGGGTCCCATCAGATGCATTGAAGAGCTCCTCGTGCAAGGATACCACTAAGCCATGCCTGCCCCTTCACAATGTCCATTTTTCATTAAAAAAAAAAAACATCATAGTCGTGCCATCAGACCCCTCTCCCAAATAATAAACACATTTGAAGTCAAACAAACAAAAGTTAAACAAACAAATCTGAAATTCACGTAGTGTAGGAAGGGACTAAAAATTATAAAATGTTAATAGTAAAACACCACTACAAGGGGAAATAAGGGGGCAGAGACAATGGTGGTCCCCACCACCATGCAAAACGACACGACAAAAAAAAGCTGAAAATCATCATCAGGCCCAGACTCACCTATTTCTTCTGGGGCGTGGTCCCACTGGCAAATCGGATCGAATGTCTGAATCTGGACGTGTTTGCGGAGAGGTGCAGGAAATCGAGATTGAGCTGCTTTTCTATATCTCCGCTTGAAACGCGCCCAGATTCAGGAGGTTAATCCTATCCTCGGCCCTGGCCTACTTTATTGTCAGACACGGAATCTTTTCTTTTTTTTCATTTTTTTTTTCAAACTGCAATTTGCGGCCGATGGGATCTCCTTTTTTTTTTTTTTTTTTTTTTTTGCTTTTTTCTCCCCACCTGCCACCAGGTGGGTTAAACTCTCAGGGCATACTCGCTCTACGGCACGCTAGGACTTTTTCTCTGGACGTGATTATGGTCAGATTCATCTAGGTCCAGACGTAATTGCAGACGGATACGTTTACAAAAGTGGTAGTGTGAGTAGGCCCTCAAAAGAGTCAATTTGCAAATCGCGCACCCTTGTTTTCATGTGCATGGACCTCTGTCAACACGACACTTGTCAGAGACAGCACAGAGTACAGGTCCCTGTCTTGCCTTTTTTTTTTTTTTTTTTGGAGGGGGGAGGGATGCCTTGTATGAGGAGGGTCAGTACACATCAGATTTGCCAGGCTGGAAAAAAAGAGAAAAGAGAAAAAGAAGAAGAAGAATGATGGATGGCTGGCTTAGTACACATCAGATTCAACAGGATTTGCAGATAATTATTTATGAAATTATTAGTGACATTATTACAACGGATTACGGAATCAGATCTCTCTGATCAGACAGCGCAGGGTGCAGGACCAATGATTACCAGGAGTAGAGGGGGAGGGGGTAGGGGGGGGGGGGGGGGGGTAGTGGTGGTGGGGATCATGTGCCCTCTGTCAACAGCCCACCCGTCTTGCCTTGTCAGAGTAGGCCACATTCAGTCAATGTTGTCCTCGTGTGAACGGATGTTAGAGAGAGAGAGAGAGAGAGAGAGAGAGAGAGAGAGAGAGAGAGAGAGAGAGAGAGAGAGAGAGAGAGAGAGTAGTGTGTCGTAGATACCTTGTGCCCGGAACAATTAACAAACGGATCGTAAATTTGAATCCGTATAGGTTCAATAATGTAACGGACTAGCCCCTTTGAAAAAGAGGAAAAAGAAAAAAGAAAAGCAACTGTAGAGGGTAGTGTACAAAACAAACCATAAATGGGCCTCTGCCTATAGATGGAAATGCAATAAATTCAAATAATTCAATAGCCGTATTAGCCGATTGATTGATAGATATTGAAAAAAAGAGAAAAAAAGAAAATTTAAAGGAGGTGAGTGAAATCCAACAGCTCCCAAAAAAAAAAAAAAAAAAAAGTCCAACAACACTACATTATGGCGGACTTATTTTTGACGTCAGTAACAGCGCAGACTGGAGAACGTCAAGTTTGCATCGCTTAATTTTGAAAAAAAAAGCAGACGGCCATATGATTTGAACCTGTGACCTTCAACTTACAAACTTAAGAGGTTGAAGTTTGGCAGCAAAACCTGGAACAAACAAGAATACCTAAATAGGTAAACTTGGAACAGAAGGTGAACCTGGACAAGAACAGTGGTTGCAGAGTAGGGAACCTCGAGGAGAGGGTGATTGTGCAGACCAGCAATTGACCTGGCACAGTGCATGTTGACCTGGAACAGTGCATGTTGACCTGGAACAGTGCATGTTGACCTGGAACAGTGCATGTTGACCTGGAACAGTGCATGTGGACCTGGAACAGTCCATGTTGACCTGGAACAGCGCATGTGGAACTGGAACGGGACACTTCGACCTGGAACAGCACACGTCGACCTGGAACAAAGTTCCTGGAAAAACACATTGGCACGGGGAAAAAAATCACATTGTGGACCTGGAACAGCACACGTCGACCTGGAACAAAGTTGACGAAGATGTAACTGAGAACTTTACTCTGAAGATTGTTTTTCTTTTTTTTTTCTTTTCTTTTTTAAATCGATACGCGGGAGCCGGCAGAGCCACCGGCTTTTTTTTTTTTTTTTTTTTTTTTTTTTAACCCAAAACCAATTCACATATATTCCAGAGCAATTCAAGGGAGGCCCGGGACCTCACAATTCAACCCGGAATTATCCCCGCAGCATCAGCCCACAATGTGAATTATCCACCACAAGCTGTGGTGTGATCAGCCCGTTTAGCTTATCCCGTAAAACACTATTGATCACACCACAGCTTGTCTCTCACCAACCTGTACTAGCTCTTCCGCCCATTGCCAACGTTCTAAATCTGATAGACTGATACAAATCTCCTTGTGCGACACCTATTACCCACTCTTTCAGCAGTTTCACTCTTTTCTTATGCATTCACATGTTTAATCGTCTCTCCAATTGACGCTATTAACAAGACTACTGCTAGCATCAGCAACCTAACAAGCGACCTACCTCTCCCCCCTACACAGTCCTAAAAACACGGCCTGACACTGGGCTAACCCTGACCGATCGGAAGCTACTTCCCCGTCACCCTGGCACTCTGCCACCCTTCCTCCCCAAGATGACCTCCTGCGGCCAGAGCCTCGAACCGAGATGCCCTGGTTCAATTACTCTGAAGTTTGGAAGACACTGAAACTGAGCAGGGGGAAAAATAAAAACTTCAAAAAAAAAAAGAAAAAAAAAAACGAAACGAAAAGAAAAGAAAGGAAAAAAAAAGACAGAGGAAACCTGGAACAGAGCTGCGGTTGCAAAGTAGAAGATCTGAAAGGAGGAGAGAAAGTGGTCCTCAAGAGCGAGACCTGAAACAGACAAGCAACCGTGTCAGCTAAAAGCAAAAAAACAAAACTGCACAGAGCCGCAGATGCAGGCCGATACAGAGGCAAACGCGGCATGAAAGTGTGGGTGTGAATACAAAAAAACTGGTCCAGGAACATGAAACAAAACCATGGAAACCTAAACCTGGAACAAAACCATCCCTAAACCTAAACTAAGGCACAGCGTACCTCCTGTATAAGAATGCATGTACATAACAGTGATGATAACACCACCACCGATGGTACTTGCCAAAGCTGCCAGTGAACCAAAAATAGGCCATGGACTTGGATCCAACTAAATGAATAAGGACGCTTTTGAGAACTCATACTCATTGCTTCGCTCCTTTGTTTTTTAGTCTAATTTATTAGACATACCCAAGAAACGTCATCCTTGAAAGAGACAGCTTCCACTACAATAGCCATAAAGGCATGATTGCTACCACAAAGTTCACTACATTGAACCATAGCAAACTCCTTAAACACGAAATGCAGACCTGGAACAGGAAACTTGGAACCCAAACCTGGAACGAAACATGGACCCAAATCCCGGAATGGAACATGATGGAACTGAAATTTGAAAATTGATCAACCCCTCAGTGTTAGAGAAGTGGACCAGAGTCCTTTGGGAGGACATCCATCAAAATTTGGACTTCTGGAGCGATAGTCAGTGTCATCCTTGTGCAGGGGGGGGCATGCTAACCTCCTCCTCCTCCTTCTTCTTCTTCTTCTTCTTGTTGATCTGAAAGTGTGGGTGTGAATACAGAAAGCTGGAACAGAAGATGGAAACCTGATTTTAACGGATGTCCCAAAGGACTCTGGTCCAGAAGTGATAGTCAGTATCAGAGGAGGAGGAGGAGGAGCAGAAGAAGAAGAAGAAGAAGAAGAAGAAGAAGAAGAAGAAGAAGAAGAAGAAGAAGAAGAAGAAGAAGGAGGAGGAGGAGGAGGAGGAGGAGGAGGAGGAGGAGGTTAGCATGCCCCCCCCTGCACAAGGACGACACTGACTATCGCTCCAGAAGTCCAAATTTTAATGGATGTCCTCCCAAAGGACTCTGGTCCACTTCTCTGACACTGACGGGTTGATCAATTTTCAAATTTCAGTTCCATCATGTTCCATTCCGGGATTTGGGTCCATGTTTCGTTCCAGGTTTGGGTTCCAAGTTTCCTGTTTCAGGTCTGCATTTCGTGTTTTGTTCCAGGTTTACGTTTCCATCTTCTGTTCCAGCTTTCTGTATTCACACCCACACTTTCAGGTCCCAAAAAAAAAAAAAAAAAAGAAGAAGAAGAAGAAGAAGAAGAAGAAGAAGAAGAAGAAGAGAAAGAGAAAGAAGGTTAGCATGCGCCCCCCCTGTACAAGGACGACACTCGTAAATTTGGAGAACTGGTCCAAATTTGGAAGAAGAAGGGGAAAAAAAAGCGAGGAATACACAAACTCTATTGGTCCTGAAGAAGCAGTTTGAATTTAGAGCAGTATCACTGCAAGATTCATTGAGATGGTAATAATGAATGTTGCAGTACTTCTGCTCAAGGAACAGATGCATCAGAAGCGAACTAAAAAATAGAAATGAGCAGAAGCACTGATGCAAAAGCTGAGCAATGACGTCAGCAGGACTTCAACCTGCTGACATCATTGCAGTGCTACTGCGCTTTCCTTTTCTTTTCTTTTCTTTTTTTATTTTCCTTTCCTTTTTTATTTTCCTTTCTTTTCTTTTTTTTATTTTCCTTTTTTTTTTTTGCAGAGAATTAAAGAAGGAACGAGCTCAGCAGAGGATTCTAGAAAGGAACAGGGTTACAGAGCGGACCAGGTTCCACGAACAATTCTCTTCGCAAATGGGTTTTTCTTATACTGGAAATGCCGTAAAACACGAACCAGCATCAAAGAAACGGGGTTCAGCCAAAGTCCAACGAGAGAGAGCTGCTGCACCACCTGCAGTCTAGCCACAGCATATATACTCCCTGAAGAGCTGTGATCAACACAGAAAGCGACATGCTGGATGAAGTGGTCACTGTTCCTCAAAACGGAGAGAGAGAGAGAGAGAGAGAGAGAGAGAGAGAGAGAGAGAGAGAGAGAGAGAGAGAGAGAGAG